AAGTTTGGTGGATAGGTGTCGCTGTTTATTAGTTTGAATGCCATTGAATTAGTCTCGTCTTCTTTAATATCTTAATTTCTTAGTGTGCAGTTTTCTATACGTCTGACACGCTACATAAAAAGCTTATCCTGAGAGTTGTAGCGAAAATTAACAGTAGTTAAAAATTACCCTTACAGAAAATAATACAGCAGTAATTGGAATTGTAGATTTGGATAGGAAAAAAACAGATTCAGGGTTCGAGTTACTTGTTTACATCTGAGAGTAGCCGTGTAGAAATAATAAACAAATAATATTAAACAATACAACTTTCTGTTTTTTTTTGTTTTATTACATTGAATATCGACTGAAGTGACATCTATACATTATACCAAAGAGTAAAATTCCTACATAAAGTTCGTACACTACCCTTACTGACGTTGTTCTTCATAGAGCTATATAACAAATAGTTGTATGAATTAGTTATTAATTTTTTGAAAAGTACAGACAAAATCTCTCACATTAATAGGTGTAGACGTTAAGTTACGGCTTATAAAATAATAATAAAATTTTTAGCATTCGTAAGAACTAAATTAGTGTTGAACATGGAAACAAACTTAAACATCAATTCTTTACAATTATTTGTTTGATTTAAAACAAAAGTCGCACAATGTTCTTTCTCTGAAAGAACAGTTTTTTATAATTTTAGAATCTCTTACTGTAACTTGAAAATGTCAGCTTTATAAATTTAAAAAAGAAAAAGATTTATAATTAACCGTAGACAACAGTTTTCATAAAATCAAAGACAACATATAACATTACATATATATATATATATATATATATATATGTTACAGGTTTCTTTTCATTTACGCCAAATGTAAAATCGAAAAGAGAATCTGTGACGTAGAGGCCTAATGCTTTCTTTTGATTGGTCGTACCCTCTGCTATGGACTGCAGTTTTACCTATTCAAGGCTTATCAGCACAGTTTGGGCTGGCAAACCAAAGAAATACTTAAAACTCTTACAACGGTGATTTGTACATAACATTAATGTTTTTCTTATATTAAGAACCCCATTAACATTATTTAAACACCTAAGTTATTTAAAAACCCCATTAATAACATAGTGTTACAACAGCGGAAGTCACGTGACGCTGCTAGCACGTTTGGCGCTGGTATCGTGCGTGAAGTTTCTCGATTTATCGAGGAAGACAGTGGGGGAATAAAGTGTGTGTTTTGTACTCGTCGAGAGCGAAGTTATCGAGATTGTGAATCGCTGTGATTTACAGCGTGTATTATAAAAGTTGTTAAGTTTAAAGTGACGTGAAACGTACTGATTGTGG